CGAGTAAAGAATTATAGGCTCTTGAAAACGACCAGCCTGAGAATGCTGTCTGAAGAAATCAGGCACCGGCATGTGTTCTGGTTTGACAGAACCATCCACAGAGAGAACGTAGATTAATCTAAAACTATTTTCCTTTGGGAAGTAAAGGGCAGCCGTAGGAGCTTCTTAAGCCAACATCGCAACCTACATCAGCTTCTAGAGGCGAACTTGCGTGGGACGAGGAAAATTACCTTTTTCGAAGCAACTAAAATCGCCTAAATCATTTTGAGAAGCTAAAGCGTCAGGCCTTATTAATCTCAGTTTTCTCTTTTTGACTCTAATACCTCAGATGATGATGACAACTAAGGTGGAAGAAATATGTTCAAGGGCGGATCGAAGTCATAAATTTTGAGGTCATATTCTGTAATTTCGCAACTTTTGTTGCAATTTAATTAATTCTGTATCTTTGGACCTGTTGTTAAGTCAAGCCATAAACCAGGCACCAATTAAAGTTAGTAATATAAGTAGCAAAAATAAATTTATCACGACTTCGTCGCGAAACCCCACTCTTAAAAGAATTGCATTGCCAATTTTTCCCGAATCGTACTGGTTGCATACATTTTATTCCGTACGGAAGAAAGCTAACGATAAGTTGAAAAGGCCTATGTACACTCTAGGTATTTTAAAATATGATTTATTGCGAATTAAATGATTTTCTGATACCTTCTTCTGATGCAACCAATAATGCTGCTTGTTAGATCTACTTCAGGGAAGACGTTACAACGGAGTCGTTCAGATATTACTCTTATCTGATACAGATCAATTTAAAAAATATTACTCGTAGTGGAAATAATCTTAGTGGTCTAGCAAGGCTTGATTTAATAAAAGAGCACTTTTTCAATTTCTAATTCATATTGGAATTTTCGTCTGCTGCTTGGTGCCCTCAAAGCCGATATAGAAGTCTCCGTGTTTCGAAGATTAAAAACACATTGGGAAAGAAAATTAAAATTGCATTACAACAGCAAGACATTTTTAAAATGGGAACTGCGAACCAGTTTATTCAGCGATAAAGCAGTCATGTTACTGCTTCACTTTACATGTTTCACTTTAAATGGCTGTGACGACCCAAACAATAATAATGTATGTTATCGATGCCTCACTTTGATTGGATAAGATGTATTGAGTAAATATGTAATCCTTGAAATCAGTGGCACTAGGTACAAAACTGTGCTGGTGTAGAAATATTGTGGTGTTAAAAATCGCCGAATCATTTGAACTGCCTTGAATATTCGAACGAAAAACTTACCCCGTCAAACGATTTGTGAAAAACTAGCCCTACCTTCAGGAAAATTTTGGCAATCTCATGGAATTGCGCGATTAAAGAGAAATGGACCCCGACACTGCTCGTAGTCACCGGCCATTCGCGAACTGCAAGTAATGCTGCCATTCGGAGGGAAGTGAATAGAAAGTATGTTCTTACAAAAAAGCACCATCCTACACCAGAAATTCAGACTTATGTTCTGTACTCTGTATGCTATACTGTATGTAATCTTTATAATAAACATTTTCTATATCTTGCCTCGTGAAGCATCGAAAACAATTGCACAGATGCAGACCTTCGAGCTCGTCATAACCGATGTTGCAATATCTTTATTTTTCTCTTTCCAGCTTTTCTGATTTTCTTAAAACGAAGTTCGCCTACTGTGTAAATACATTATTCTAGGTGCGTAAACGTTGGTTGGCGACACGCTGGTAACGGGAAATATGTTTTAACATCGGTTTTTGCTTTGCGCCCAAAATCTTGGAACTGGAAGATTGCAAATTTATGACTAATTGTTTTCATTTTGCAAAGTGCCTTTGGATTTTTAGGAATGTTCATTTTTTCCTACATACGGGCTAGCTTTAAACGCTATTTGTCGAAGATGAGGTAGCCGCAGTTTGAGTACGCATTAGTTAACAATAAATGTAAAAAGCTGTCGATCGAATTGAAACAGTATTCATGTAGTCGGTAACGAATATTTGAGGCCATTGAGCTAAAATTCACGTTTGGTATGGGCGGATATAGATATGAAACATTTTTTTCATTGTAACTGTTAAACTGAAGATTGCAGTATAAGATTTCCTCAAGTATTTACATATTTCTTTGACAAGCCATGCTTTCTATCGGTAAGGAAGAACTATTCCGATTAACTTTTTCGTAGACGACCTGGCTTATAGGAGATGTGAATTTATCGTGTAGCCGAAATTTGTGCTATTCGTATTCATTATGCCGTTGTGAATGTGTTTTAATTGCGATGGTTTTAAGTCTAGTGTGCTGTGGCTGAAATGTATTTTTCGTTTCGCTTTTCAAACAACGTTGAGATGAGTGTGGTAGCTACAGTTTTACAGGGCAAACCTCAGGTGGCAGGAGTCTGCTAGTGGGGAGCACAATGTTTATTTTTTGACGTAGAGCAGGCTTCTATCTAGTATCTGACCAGTTATGAAGCTGCTGATTATTCAATAATTTTGTGACTATTCTTGAGAGATAGTTAGGTAGACCTGAGAATTATTTGATATGCGTTACCGAATGCCAGTCGTTGGAACAGGGATCGATTTATAACCGTTTTTTCAGCTTAATACTGGCCGAAGTCGTTCAGTCAGTAGAGCGTCGGATTCATAATGAAGAGGTTCTGATCTTGGCATTCCTCTTGCTACTTTCTGATTTTGATAAATGAGCACCACTTTGTGGGAGGGAAATAGGAAATCTACGCAGAAAGGGTACCAGAAATGGTTCCGTCATGAAAGTGTAAGGTAGACACATTCCAACGGTTAGAAACTTGCTTTTTCCTTTTATTAGCATACACAAGTTGTACAGAAAATTTGTGATACCTACCGCAACACGAATCCTTTAGGATGTCGATCCAGTCCTCCTAATTCAGACACTTAGAAGTTCTGATATTACAGTTTTTTCCTTGACCAGGCAAACTCGCGATAATGTTTGTTTTGTCCGTGATATAATACTTATCTTTTACTAGTGAATAGCGTTTCGTATAATGTGCAGTTGGTTTTTCTGTTCGCCTTAGAAGCATCACATCCTTGTCCCTTTATTGCGTGTGAGGTAATTCAAGCGTGGCTTCGTTGTTCCCTTTGAATGTAGAGTGAATGACAAACTTTGGAAAGCAAAGTTAGGCTTTCTGACTTTAAGAACCGTTTCGCCGAGATCTTTAGAATCCTTTTTGCTTAGCTCTTGCTGATAATTGTCCGTTGCAGCTGTTCGACTTTGGAAGAAGTCTATAGCTTCATGTACTTTTATAAAGAGTGACTTGGCGACAAGTTAGGTAAACTACAATAATGACTATAAAATATGCACGAAGTCTTGCTTAGGGATTCATCGTAATGATTAATCAGTTATTCAAAATCTGTTCTTCATTAGAACTGATGTTTTCATTCGCTCGATGCATGCCGGCTTCACTGCCAAAACAGTTCTTAATATCCTATGTTCCGAAGGATGATGGGATGTAAAAATTTGAGCACCGTTTCATTACAGATTTCCCACGTCTTGAATATCCACATGGGAAAAAAGTTATTTTCTTTCTAATTTCTCATATTATGTGTGATATGCTTTCCTGATCATCAATGCATTTTGCTCATATGTGATCATTCTCCGTTCAGAGTGAAGATTGCTTGATTAAATTAGGTCTTGCATTTATCGATACATTAGGCATTATGTAGTGTAGCAATAATTTGAAGATTTGGGCTTGTAGTCAGATTATCTTTCCCCTGTAGAAAATTTATATACATCAAGCCAATGAACTAGTCGAAATCAGGTCAAACGCCCGTTTTTGGTGCTAAAGGACTAAATTGGTTAAAATTAAGTCAAACATACGAATGAGGTACCTATTCAGTAATTTGTACTATATGATAATGCCTACATGACTGAATTTAGGGATGGCATTATGCAGACGAACTTCGAATCGGACTGTTTTGACAGTGACTAATGCTTTACTCAGCAATAGCCGCGTCTGTGTAAGTGCAGGCTTGCGGAGGATAAGCGCTTCCGTGTTTAGTCGTCCGCCGACCAGTTTGTCCCAGCTGTTGCGTCGACGACTATCTCGTGAACAACTTCGTTGGTTCTGTGACGACCGTCAGCCGACCTGTTTTCAGGTGCAAGATGCTGACGACTTCCGTCAAAGAGTATTACAAAGCGGAAAGCCGGTGATCGTAGATTTTTATGCCGAGTAAGGTGAACATGCCGTTGGTTTTCGCGATGTTTTCATGACGTTTCCGTTGTTTTTCAGTTGGTGTGCCCCTTGTAGATTACTCGGGCCGAGATTGGAATCAATTGTTGACACTCGACTCGGCAGCCTGCTGCTGGCAAAGGTGAACGTGGACGAAAATGCGGATTTAGCCATGGACTATGACGTGAGTGACGAACAATTGTATATACGCATTATATTCAATAGGACAATCAGGTGTTCAGCCTTACTCGCAGAAAAATCGTTAATCTTTGTGGATAGGATACAAAAACGAACAGAAAGTATAAAAATATCAGTTTGAGGTGAGAATGAATGATCGTTTGTAAAATTCTGTGTGGAAGTAAATGTAAATAGACTTTGAACGAAAGAGGGTTTCATATGACGTGATAAGTATTCTTTAAATTGGTTAATATTCAGTGGCAAAGATTCAAAGAAGCGTTCATAACGCGATTGATATAAACAGTCTGGAGTTCCTTTCAATGCATGCTTCTGAAACGATCAACTAATAATATGAAAGTTCACGTGATAGTGTACAGTTGACTCACGCAAACGATGGACGACAGCCGACGACGGATGTGACATATCTTAGTTTTCGTATAGCTTTATCTAATGTACTGTAATGGAATTGCTCTGTCTGCTTCCTCTGTTCAAAGCTGCTGGCGACCCCGCTACTGACTGGTATCTTCGGTATGTTTGCGTAGTACTTCAGCAGCTGTCGCCATGTTGCTACTTTCCCCTTGCTGCCGGAAAGTATGAATCAGGTTGTGTTCACTGACTTCCCCATGTTTGCCTTTGTTCTCCAGAAGCGTCTGCGGCTCTTGGGCGACTATCGATTCATATAACATTCTATAATATCAGTCCAATGGGGGGATGTCAGGTGGTTTCACAGTAGACCTCATCACGATCTTAAATTCTCCTGCTCTCTCATCTGTGCCTGAGAACGACAACGGCGGAATTTGTGCGTTTTCGACGGCATTCGAGCGCTGTGTAAATATCGCTTGCTTTTTCAAGTCCGCCGTACCTCTTGCCCTCAGCTGAATCTGCACTCTATGTGACAGTGCTTGCGATGTTATTTCTGTCGTTTGCGCTCGTGTTCCCCCTCTTTTAGTCAGTTACTTCCTGCGACGCATTTAGTATTTAACAGACAGGATGAGACTAGTCTTGCATATTCTTGATAGTAATTTACGTTATCATATGTAAGTTAAATCGGTTAGTTTCTCGTTTTGCTTTATGTTCTGCTTTCTTCCGAAGATTTAATTATCATCATTGTCATCGGTTTAGGTGCAGTCATTACCAACAGTGATAGCGTTTAAAGATGGCGACATTATCGACAAGTTCATCGGCGTGATCGAAGACGAAGATTTGAACAGTTTTATTACGAAACTGGAGTCTTAAAGGAAAACATGAAAAATTGTGTCGAATTCCGGCGTCTGTTAAATTTAATTTTGGCATGCTTTTATCTTGCTTGCTGTTGTGTTTTGCTAAGTAAATTAAATCGTTACAAATTATGATTAAGCTATTTTTCTACCTAAAATTTTTTTGCACGTATTTCTAGTTCTGAAAAATCGTCGCCGAAAAGATTCATATCGAAGGTAACTTATGGAAAAGCAGCTTCAAGATCATGAAGATTAACCTGCTTGCTGTTGTTAAATTTGTTTTGATGAGTGACCGTTGCCTATATTGTTTCCTGTAAAATGGAGTGATCTTCGTCACTACGATGGTCTTTTGGTGTTTACTACCTAAACTGTACCAGTTGTTTATTCTTACTGTTGGGAGTAAAGTTTTTCTCAGGTGCGAGTTAGAAACTTCCAGTTATAAGCCTGTTTTCATACCGTTTTAGCGGCTTTGATTTGAATGTGTCGTCTATTAACGGAGAATTTGCTATATAACAATGAATATGTATCCTATCTTATACTGTTAAGATATATGTGTATGTCTATCAGTAATATTTTATCACAGTGTGTATATTAAGATGGAAATAGGTAT